TAAGGGGAAAAGAAGGGGGGGAAAGGGGGGGGGGGGGGGGGATTCACTATATATTTTACTGACCGCCTCATTTTGTTACTGTAATTGGTAATGTTCATGGCCAGCTCTTTCAATCACAAATGCTCAGCTTTACCTAGGGTGGTCTGCATGCACATGAAGCCTGCCTGAGAATGTCCACTCAGACCAACATCCACTCAAGACATTTTGATATGTGCATAATTTCCCCTAAGAGATAGCCCTGCATCACAGCCAAGGACTCGAGAGGCTTCCACGAAGCTATGTACAACAACTTACTGGGTCCTGCCACTACTCATGATCTACCAGCACTGCATAAAGAAACAGAGAACCAGCAATTACATCATTGGGTCTAAAATAGGCAACAATGAGGAAAATAAATTTGATCCCGTGCAGATTTTGTAAGTTTGCCCACTTACAAAGAAATGAAAGGTCTATAACTTTTATCATAGGTGTATTTTAAATGACAGAAATGTCAACCAAAAAAAACACAAAAACCTTCACATGATACAAATGTTATAAATTGAGTTGCAGTTCAGCGAGTAAAAGTAGTATTTGATCCCCTACCAACCAACAATAATTCTGGCTCCCACAGACTGGCTATAATGGTACACAGATTAGTCCTGTCAATTTAAGAAGGTGCTCCTAACGACAACTCGTTCTGTATATAAAAGACACCTGTCCACAGAATCCCTTTCATCCATTCAAACCTCACCACCATGGGCAAGACCAAAGAGCTGTCAAAGGACGTCAGGGACAAGATTGTAGACCTGCACAAGGCTGGAATGGGCTACAAGACTATCAGCGAGAAGCTTGGCGAGAAGGAAACAACTGTTGGACCTATTATTCGCAAATGGAAGGAATACAAAATATCAAATCGCCCTCTGTCTGGGGCTCCATGCAGGATTTTTCCTCATGGGGTAAGGATGATCATGGGAAAAGTGAACTACACGGGAGGAGCTTGTGAATGATCTCAAGGCAGTTGGGAACAGTCACCAAACCATTGGTAATGCAATACACCGCCATGGATTGAGATCTTGCAGCGCCCACAATGTCCCCCTCCTCAAGAAGGCACATGTACAGGCCCGTCTGAAGTTTGCCAATGAACATCTAAATGAATTGGAGAAGGATTGAGAGAAAGTGCTGTGGTCAGATGAGATCAAAATTGACCTCTTTGGCATTAACTCGAATCGCTGTGTATGGATGAAGAAAAATGCTGGACTATGACCCTAAGAACACCATCCCTACAGTCAAGCAGGGGAGGTGGAAACATTACGCTTTGGGGTCGTTTCTCTGCTAAAAGTACAGGCTGACTTTGTCGCATTGAGGGGCCAATGGACAGGGCCATGTATTGTAAAATCTTGGATGAGAACCTCCTTCCCTCAGCCAGAACACTGAAGATGGGCCGTGGATGGGTCTTTCAGTAGGACAATTACCCAAAATATATCGCGAAGGCAACAAAAGCAGTGGCTAAAGAAGAAGCACATTAAAGTTCATGGAGTGGCCTAGCGAGTCTCCAGACCTGAATCCTAAAGAAAATTTATGGTAGTGAGCTGATACTTAGAGTTGCCAAGCGACAGCCAGAAATGCTTAAGGCTTTAGAGAAGATCTGTAAAGAGTGGACCAAAATCCCTCCGAGGTGTGTGCAAACCTGGTAACAAACTACAAGAAACCTCTTACCTCTGTGCTTGCCAACAAGGGTTTCTCCACCAAGTACTAAGTCATGTTTTGCATGGGGATTAAATACTTACTTTACTCACTAAACTGCAACTCAATTTATAAAATTTGTATCATGTGTTTTTTTCTGGATTTTTGGTTACCAACAATACACCAAAGATACCAATGATAAAACATTATAGACCTTTCATTTGAGTGGGAAAACTTACAAAACCTGCAGGGGATAAAAATCATTATTTGCCACACTGTATGTCATATAAATGTAAAAGGTGTTACTTAAACATTTAATTAGCATGAGGGAGAAAAAAAGGAACCAAGGAAGGCAAAATAGAAATAAACTTCAGCTTTAACCTAAGGTTGCACCATCAAACCTGCTACTCACTGCAAATTTAGACCTCAGCTGTTGTGTATCAGCTGCTAGGGTATGCTGGGTCTTAAAAACATGCACACATAGGCCAGGCTGACAGCAATCTAAGAAAATAAAGCTTAAAATATCAGCATCCACTTCACTGTTATTTATGAAAGTTCCTCAGGAAGTATTATCTTAACTAGTCTGGCCTTCCCCACAGCAGTGATGCCCACAAGGACTCTATATTTTTAAATAGGACACAAACAGTTTCTTGTTAGCACAGAATTCAGTTTTGTAACCTGTGTGCTTCAGTTCTGAGTGACTTCAGATCTAGTACGTTGTTTATCTACAATATTTCCGTAACAGTAAATGTGCAGCAAGCCGCCTGAGATATTACTTCCTTTGTGTGGCCTATAAACCGTATTTCTTGTTGCCTCTGACAACCTGTCAGGTTCTTCCTACTATTTTCTAATGCTGTACCTGAAATGCTTAAGTAGTATCTAAAATGACGATTATGAGCCACAATATCCATCCTTCAGACACTTTTAAAAGTACTTTCAAGTAACCTAACAGAAATACTTCATCAGGTAACTGATAACATATCTTTTGCTGAAAATTGATTTTGACCTTTACTCCGGATGCATTAAAAAGAACACACACACACTGTATTTGCTGGCATATAAGACTACTTTTTATACCTAAAAACATCACCCGAAAATCGGGGGTCGTTCTATACGCGGGGTATACAATGTATACCGTTAGTTCGTTTAGGCCAAGAGCTGGTCCATCCCTAATCTGTCAGCCTGCTGACTGTGCTGGATGGAGGGATGTGCGGTAATACTGTATGCACGGTAGCTTCGGCTACGTACAGTAGCTGAGCCAATCACGGTGAGCGATGTGCACAACCTCTGCCAATCCAAGCAAGCTTTGTATTCATTAATAGAATACATTGCCCGCCATGATTGGCTTAGCACGGTATACTGTATGTAGCTGAAGCTACCGTACATACAGTATTACCGCACATCCATCCATGATGTTTTTAAATGGTGTTGCCTCGGAAGTGGGGTAGTCTTATATGACGAGAATAGCCCAAAACCTATGTTTTAAGTGGAAAATTAGGGGGTCGTCTTATACACCCAGTCGCCTTATACGCCGGCAAATACGATGATAGATAGATAACCAAATCTGCAATATTCACAATTGATTTGCTCATCTCACCTTAACTCTGCTTTACATGTGTACTCCTCACTAAGGGCTCACCCCCCAACTTTTTAACTTAACTATGTGCAGTGTGATGTGATGAGTTATAGCACATCAGAACATGCTGCACGTTCTTTTTTTTTGTTTTGCACACACAAAAACCGTAAATGCCTTGGAACTGCATTGGGCAACGCTGCCCAATTGAGCGGGTATGTATGAGCCCTCAAGAATGTATTGCTTCAGTGAAAAGGTTAAAGTACCTGCTCTTCACTGATAAACAGTAGCTGTACAGAAAAAAAAATAAAAATCAGTGATTGTGTTGTATGTATAATGTAAAGCGTATACCTTGAAAACAATTACAACAAAACCTGGTTAATGCCCAACTCCACACAAAATTATTAATTTTGTATAGAATAGAGAAGCATTTCCAGATTCTGGCAGATTTGTACTGCCATCCGTGACTTCTATGATTTCCCCTCACTTTGCGATGACTGGACAAGAAACAGGGAGGAACAAAGGCTGTAGCGAATTAAACTGCCAATTGTGTCAGACAAAATAAAAAAAGTCTTCTAGTGTTCAATAGTCAAGAAAAGATTATCCATATGATTGGCTGTAAGAGATACATGTGCTATGCTTGTTTGAGACCCCACTAGTGAAAAAGTAAAAGAAAAATGCAAAAAGCATATTTTAAGTACTCACTGCAGACACCTACAAACACTCTACACCTTTATTACAGGATGGGCACAAAGGCCCACTGAAGGTGCTTACACATTTTAGTAGATACATTTGCAATGATCTGCCTGACTTCACTTCCTCTTCTCCAGGTTCAGAGTCCCAGATAAGCTAAAGAAGAATCTACCCTTAAACTACACAGAGAAGAAATGTAAAAGGTTCACCGAAAACAAAAACAGGATCATTCTCTCAGAACACTCACAGACTGCAGTACAAGCAGCGGAATGGACTCCTCATCTTCAGACATAACTTCACATGTGAGGAAGTAGCAACCTCGCTCTAATGAAATAACGCCCAGTATGATAACAGACCACACCGGGAAATGACTCCAGTTAAATATTAACTCTAAACCAGTCCTCTGACAAGTACATTCAACTGAGACACAACATCTGCATACATATATACAGTAATACCTCAGTTTACAAGCATAATTAGTTCCGGAAGCATGCTTGTAATCCAAAGTGCTTGTATATCAAAGCGAATTTCGCCTTAGGAAATGGAAACTCAGATGATTTGTTCCACAACCCAAAAATATTCATATAAAAATGACTACTGTACTGTAATACAATACGAAATATAAAGAAAACTAAAACAATTACAGGTACCTTCGTGGCTGGTGTGAGGGAGACGAGAGAGGGGGATTATGGTGTAGGACGACTTTCACTATCACTAACGGAATCCCTGCTATCTCTTGGCTCAATGGAATCTT